AAAAGTGGGGGTCGTCTTGTACATGGGGGCGTCTTATTGTCGGAAAAATACGGTACTTTTTATTATATCTCTCACCCACTTTAAACTGTACTTTCTGTTTCATTTCCTAGAATTTTCATTATATTTGACAACACTCTTATTTGTATATCCTCTCCCTGATCACAAGGCAGATATAAGGATCTGATCTCTACATGCCAAAATACATAACTGTCTCCATAAAGCACAATAAAGTATCAATTTCATTGCAGGAAAATTACTGATGCTCAGAAAAGCAGAATTAAGAATGTATGCTATGTAGAAAATCAGAACAGCCCATCCTGAAATCTTGCAGTTAAACAATAAATTGTCAGAGATACACAGACAGAGTCATCCTTTACAGTTCGTAGGCCTTTGAGGATACTGTTTGGATAATGTCATTAGAAATGGAGAAAGGAGAAAAAGAGGAATTGACTGAAAAGCCCATCCATGATTATTTTGCTCATTTGAAAGTTCTTATTCAACAAATCATGGCTATAATAAACCCTGCTAAGTGTTATATGCAAATGTAGTCATTGTGCTTTACTGAAATTTTAATTTAAATCTATTAAGGTCAATCTGAACTGAATATTCTTCCATGTTCAGGCCTATTCATTCTATTGATTAATTTCATCTGCATATCTTTCTTTTAAAATTAGGGCTACCATATCTGGACTGCAAAAATCCAGATGATCACTAAGACAGAAGCAAAGAGAAACAGGTAGTCCTTGACTTGCAGCCATTCGTTCGGCGACTGTTCAGAGTTATGACAGCACTGAATGAATGGTGGTTACGACTGGTCCTTGGAGTTCCGGCTGTCCCAGCACCCCTGTGGTCATGTGATCACGATCTGTGTGCTTGGCAACCCATCTGCATTTACAACTGGTTTCCAGGCGCCCCACGATTACATGATTGCCATTTCCAACTTTCCATGCCAGCTTCCCCAGAAAGTCAAAGGCAGGGAAGATCTCAAGTTGCTGGGTAAGTCTCCCCCACCTGCGCACCCTCCCCCAGCCCGTATGCACTCGCACCACCCTGGCCACTTGCATACCTTTCTTAACCTGAGCCGCACCCCCACGCAGCCCACCCTGACCCGTGCGGTGCCTTGCGCACCCTCACTGACCTGCGTGGTGCCCCTTGCACATCCTCCCTGACCTGCATGGCACCTCTCACGCACCTCTACACACCGTCCTTGAACCTCCCCACCCCACATGGCACCTCTCATGCGTCACTGTGCACCCTCCCTGACCTGCGCAGCACCTCTCATATGCCCACCCTGACCCACATGGTGCCTCTTGCACACCCCTCCGCATCCTCTGCAACCTGTGCGGCACCACTCACACACCCTCACAGACCCACGCTGCATCTCTCGCGCTCTCTCAGACTCTTGCACACCCTCTCCACACTGCTTCTCATGCATCCTGTTTTACCCTCTCCCACACCTCCACTCACCCATTCACTCCCTCCCCCACTTACTTGCCTGAGGGCCTGGGACTTGCAACTTCTGCTGGCTTCCCCACCAACTTTAGTTGTGGGAAGCTGGAGGAAGTTGCCTCACTAATGACTGTTGGATTCAGTTAATAATGGCAGCTGGAACTGCAGAGATTGCCATCGATAAGCAGTGTGGTTGTACTTTACAACTGCATCACTTAGCGGCAGAAATTCTGGTCCCAATTGCTGTCATAAGTAGAGGACTACCTGTACCACAAGTTCTAATTCATTGAAAATGGTTGCCCAGATTTTTGGAACCCAGATATGGTAGCCCTCCTTAAAACTTATTATCATTTGGTATGTTTATAATAATTTATGTATTTTATTAATAGCAAGTCTTTAGATTTCAGATCATCATACTTTTTAATAACATTTATTCTGGGATAATTGTTATGATGATCTGATTCCTCCAAACAATGCAGTAAGCTAATAGTTGTAAGAGGAAGAGTGGATATTTACCATGAGGGTAGTGCTTTATAGTAATGGCAAATAGATTTGTTCAACCTTGTCTGTCACTGAGAAAATCTAGAACTGAACTTTTTTTTTAAATCTCTCAAGGGATTGTATTTAGAATACAGGCAACTTTTGCAAAGGTTGGAATATATCCAGATTATGATGGTATTACAAAAGAAAAATCTGTGTCTTTTTAATTGCCATTCTCTACTAATTTCAGTGCTAACCCAGACAACTGTAGAATGTCTGCTCAGGAAATTATGTTTAGCTGATGGATGTTACTGGATACAGTGATATATAATCTGTAATGAAATAGACAACTCTTTTCTTACTCTGTTTTATAGTGCTGCAAATTCCTGCCCATCTAGTCCTCGTGGTGCAGGCTCTTCAGGGTACAAAATGGGTCGTGTAATACCGTCTGACTTACATCTTATGGCTGACAATTCACAGTCAGAAAATGATAAAGAAGCATCTGGTGGAGATAGCCCAAAGGTAAGTTTTGATTGGAATCCATTTGTAAAATAAGTTATTGAGTATAGTGTAATGTTAATAGAAAATATTGCTTTAAAAATTAAACATAGAAAATAATACCTATGTGTATTTTAGCAATTCAGACTGAAAAATAAAGTGGACCCTAAGATATTCACACAGACCTTATAAGATGGATACCTGAAATTTGGGCAGTGTAGAATGCTAAGAAAAAAGCCATCTTCTAATGGAAAAGCAAACATTTTATCACATTATTCAAAATTGGGAAAAGCATGTTCAAACCTAACAGTTTTTAATCATATATTTATTCGGTGTGTGTGTGTGTGTGCTAGATTTATATCCCAACTTTTCCCTAGGAGCTGAAGTGAAAATTCTGAAAATCTGTAATACTTGACAATTTTGGAGTTTTAATACTATATTACAGGTAGTCTTCGACTTACGATCATTCATTTAACAACCAAAGTTATGACAGCACTGAAAAGAGTGACTTACCACCAGTCCTCACACTTACGACTGTTCCAATATCCCCACGGTCACATGATCAAAATTTGGCTGCTTGGCAACTGGCATGTATTTATGACAGTTGCAGCATCCCGGGATCATGTGATTGCCATTTGCGACCTTCCCAGGGGGCTTTTGACAAGCAAAGTCAATGGGGGAAGCTGGATTTGGTTAACGACCACATGATTCACTTAACAGCCATGGCAAAAAAGGTCATAAAATCAGGTGCGACTCACTTAACGACCACGTTGCTTAGCGACGGAAGTTCCGGTTCCAATTGTGGTCTTAAGTCAAGGACTACCTGTAAACAGAGTCACCCTCTGGGGGAGATGGGCAGCATATAAATTTAATAAATAAATAAATAAAGAGAAAGCTTTGGTGTTGGAATCTGTTGTGAGCTTGTTTGGATTTGTTAAAGAAAAGAAAACTTCAATTCTCTTCTATTGATGCTAAAGAAAAGCCATGGTATAAATTCTAGAATTTGCGGCAGAGAGAGAAAGAAGCAAAAGAAATTCCAGTTATACAGCAGAAGCCCATTCATATAAAGTGGGATGCAACTCTTCTATGATTTCTACCACATACAACAAATACCATATCTCTGGAACTGGATATCCCTTCCCCAAATGAGTTGCACATATCTGACTACAAGGCAGTGGTAACATGTACAAAATGGCACTTTTTAAGATGAAGGGTTTGCCTCCTTTTCTTGTTTTCCCTCCTATTGTTTCTGCTATAGGAGAACATCTAGTGTCATGGGTGTCTGTGTTCTGAATGGACACATTGTCTCCTGTGGTCCCTTGCTTCTTAGCTCATTTTTCTCCCAGCCAAGCCTAGAGATAAGCCCTTGGATGGTATTAAGCTAGCATGAATACCAGAAACCAGGCAACACACACAAGATTTAGAAAGAAAAACAGACTGTATCAGTGACAGTCGATCGCTCACAGCTTGTCAGCTCAATCTATCTGATAGTGTTCTTCTTGCAGTGATAGCCTGAAAGGAGATCCCTGTGTAAGGTGTCTTGAGCTCCTGCAGTAAAGGTGGCATATAAATTAACAAATAAATATATAAATAAAAATGCTGTTCTGCCAAAGAGAGAAGCATGTTTGGCTTTTCTGCATTTGCTTTAATTCTCAAAACAATCTAATTGCCCCTGCCCACATAACAGACTAGCTCAGTGAATACTTTGTGAATTAAAAGATAAATGCACACTAATATAGGGGGACAAAATCATGCACTATACTGTGTATAGGAAAAATGCTTTTTTTTTTTTTTTTTGCTTTTAAGATTTTGTTTCTTTTTTTGCTGTTTATACATTTTTAGAAATGGGTGGGTTGGGAGTAGAGAGCTGCAAATTCAGGAGGAAGCATGTTTGAGCAAGGAGAGTGAGTGCTGATTGGTTGATGTTCTCAGGTAGGCCAAACTACTATTCTCTAGTTGGCTTGGGCTGAACTTAGCTCCACAGTTGACAAACAATGTTAAAAATATGCTCAGGAGTTGCATGGTGAATACAGAGAGAGAAAAAGTCATGGTAGCAGTAAAGCACATTAAAGGTGTTTTACACATGGAATTGATTGTGATGGGCAGACTCTGTATGTGTTAAAATTGAAAATGCAAACGTAATAAAAGTGAAAAAGTAGTTAAATGTGCATGATGGTATCTTTCAAAGGATAATGTCCTTAGAATTACCTGATATGTTCAGCTCTTTATATTACAATATAAAGTTGGTGTTATATTTTTAAAGTTTCCGAAGGGATAAGCTATTTTCATTATTAAATTATATTATTATTTTTAATATATAGGATGACTCAAAACCACCTTACTCCTATGCACAACTAATTGTACAAGCAATTACAATGGCACCTGATAAGCAACTTACACTAAATGGAATTTATACGCACATAACTAAAAACTATCCTTACTACAGGACAGCAGACAAGGGCTGGCAGGTAAAAATTATTAATATTGTTTTAAATGAAATGACCAAACTATGGTGGGTTGAAGCTAGGCATCTACAAAGCCTACAGTTTGGATAGAACTTTTGGGGGACAGAGTATTCTGGAGAGCTCTGGAACAAGCCTTTCTTCCTTTAGACCATATCAGTCTGGTTGCTTCACGAATGGTTTAGCAGTTTTCTGGAAATGGATCCTCTAAACCAGGAATAGCTTTGTGGTATTTCAAATGAAACAGACATTGTGCTTTTTGATTCTTACCTGTTCCTGCAGACTTTTCATTTCCTCTAGAATTTCTTCACAAAATAAATAGCTCACTTCACAGCTTATGATTCTTAGCTGCAAATTATGCCATTTATATTTGTATAAATCTAGTTTTGATTGTAAAATCCAAAATTGAGATATCTTTACATATGGGGAAAATGTATTAAAATTAAGCAATTGAATATTAATGGTATATAGAATGTCATTATATGAGCAGGAATCAAGAATTTTGTGCTATGTTCTCCTAATGCTGGATGCTTAAATTTATCAAACCAAGTAACGTTCATTCCATTTTCAATAGATCTGCACTACTACAGATGCGTCCTAATTCCTATAGCCTTTGAATGCCTCAATTCTGAAAAAATCTATGGTCATCCTTGTTTTTCTCACATTAGCAGATTTTGGCTGTATATGTTGAAGTTTTTCTATTATTATTATTATTATTTACAAAATGGCAAGGCATTGTGGTATAGAAACTTAAATTTACTGTGAAATAAAACTTTGGAAGTTAAGAATTTGAAAAACATGACTGTGGGAACTTTGCAGATCAAGACTGGGAAGAGAGATAATTAAGGGGAAATTGTTGAATGATTGAAAGAAAAAACTTGGTGTGAAACTACTAAGCATGGATAATTCTTTATTGCATTAGCATTAGTATTATTAAGCAGGATATGCAGTAATTTTCGCAACATGTAAAAATGAGGAAAGTTGAAACTTAGAGGAAAGACAGCATTCTTCATCTGAAAAAAGAAAGAAATGACAAAACCTGTCAAATGGTTTTGGAGGAGAGAAGAAGGACCACCTATATGTGTGTATATATATATATATAAAATGTCAGATTCTCTATATAGTACATAGTCTTCCCTTAAGTTCTTCTCCAAATGCAATATTGCCTGACTGCTGCTAAGTGAGTATGGTTTCACAAAAATAAAAATGTTTTAATTAGATTGTATTCCAACATAATACTGAAATGGATGATTTCTTTGTTTTCTTTTATGACTCACAGAATTCAATACGTCACAATCTCTCTCTGAATCGTTATTTCATCAAAGTACCACGTTCCCAGGAAGAACCAGGCAAGGGCTCCTTCTGGAGGATAGATCCTGCCTCTGAAAGCAAATTAATAGAACAGGCTTTTAGAAAAAGGCGGCCAAGGGGAGTACCTTGCTTTAGAACCCCACTGGGACCTCTTTCTTCTAGGTAAGGAATTGAGGATGACAATTTAAACATAGCGGTTCAGAGGCTTTCCCTTAAGTGTACTTCAGGGTCTACTGACTGGGGGATGACATTGCCCATTTAAACAAGATTTTTGTCAGATAAAGAAGTAATACTGAGTACAACTGGGCACAAAAGAAACTCTTAAGATTTTCTCCTTGAGGAGGCTTAGTGGTGCTTATTTTATGCTTAGATCTGATTGTAGTACTGAGGAAGAAATGTTTTCTGAACTTGTTACTGGCTGTGTTCACACTTAAAGACCTAGCAGCTGCATTCACATAATATACTAAGAGTAATTATGGATTTATTTATTCAATTTATATAAATACATAACATATTAATGTTAACTTTGGTTAGATTTTCTTGTGGCTTAGCCTATTGTGCAAATCTAGCCTGTCTTGCTTAGTTTATGACTCAATGTGTTATGTTAACCCAGAAAATGGGTTAATTCAGTAACGAGTTTAAGCATGTGGTATGAACATTGCCACTGTCTAGTCATGCTAATTTCTTTCCCAGCTACTGTTTTTGGAAATGCAGTATATTTCACTTATTACCTAGAATAATGGAATTTTTTAAATAATAATTTTATTGAACATGACAATTAAAAAGATAAGAACTAATACAAACTAAAAAAAGAAAAGAATAAAAAAAATAGTGCAAAAAAAAGAAAAAAGAAATAGAAATATATAAAGAAACAATTTTCCCTTCATAACAGCAAGTATAAACAATAACTTATCACCTTCTCTTAAAATACAACAAATGATCTCTTCTTCCCATATCTCATCTCTTATCTATAAACAAATCTTTAAAGCCTCGTTGTTCAGTCCTGGTCAGCAAAAGTCCATTAAGGATTACCTGAGAGAACAACATATCTATTTAACCTTGATCAGATAAACCAATTTTATATTCCTTTTACTTTTAACAATATTGATTTTTTGTACAAGTCCTTAAACTTGTATAAAACTTCTTTTGCTAAGGATTGAAGGAAACATGCCCAGTGTAGTAAAACTTGCCATATGAACGTTTCTAATATCTGAAAGGCAGTTGACAAGCAATTTCCAAAAGTGATTAAGAAAAGAAGTATGTGAACCCAGTGTCCTTTTGAAGGTGCCAAACTGCAATTATGGCTACAATGGCGTTCCATCATCTCCCAGAGCTCTAGCCAGCTGGAGACTGCTGTTTTGCAGTCTCATCGCAACTGTCTGGAGCACTTGTGGGCAATCCCAGTCCTCTCCTTGTCTGCAGAGGAATCACAGAGTCAGTCCATTCACCGGCTCTTCATTCCACTGTGGTTGTTCGCTCTGCTCTTAGCAGAGCTGTCTTCAGTTCATTGTGTGCCCTGGAAGTCCTGGAATAATGGAATGTAAGGAGTTGGCTAGGGCCTTGGAGATAATGTATTCCAACCCCCTGTCCAGTGCAGAAATCATCTAAACAGTAGTTACGGATAGTGGGGTTAATTTGTTCGGTGCAGATATATTGTTACACATGTGGTTGGCGCGTGGAGACTCATTTGTGGTCAGCCTGCTCTCAGTTTGGTGTTACCTAGCAAACACACATTGCAGCATGTAGTATCACCTACTCACCTTGAGCTGATTACAGAAAGTCCTGATTAGTACTTTAATGGGAGAGTATAAAAACATTCCCAGGCTGTAGACTATATTGGAAAGTAGAAAATAAATTCCAAAAAAAGGCAATAAGAAGCAACTGCCGTATTGTTGCCAAGAAACAACATGGAGATATCCATGTAGTCACCAAAAGTCAATCTTAATGCAAGAAAAACTTGATGTTTACCATTAGCAAACGAATCAATTGATACTTTCCCCATAGTCTGAGGCTTTTTTAAAAAACCTGGAAGAAATGCTTGGGATTGAAGAAAATGGCAGAGAGATAAAGGGTAGTAGTATAGTAGTGTTTAACCTTTTCCAGTCACATGTTGCTTTTATGCTCAAAATTACCATTCCAAAGCAGCATTTTCCCTATGGAAACCTGAATGAATTTGTGTTCTCGCAGAGACATACAGAATTGAAAAGTAGTTTTATCCCCTGCAAAGTATTTGGAATAATTTAAAACAAAGAATCAAAAAAAGCTCAAAGATGTGGAACATGTAGCCTTAATGTAAGGCGTTACAGTTGATGCTAGTGTTTCTCAGTCCTTTCCTGGAGACAGTATAATGCTGCCAGCAATAGCCAGTTTAACCTGAGTGTGGAGCTATCCTATCTGATCGTGGGTTGGATCCAGATGTCACGTTTAGGGCAGACCTTATGAAATTTATGAGATACTAGACAATCTGTGACCCGTTGGGTCATTGTTTCAGAAATATTTCCTTACTTAAACAGAGAAACAGAATGACCAAGGGCAAAAAAGCAATTGGAGTGTGAGCGACTTAGGACTTGCTGCCAGCTTCCCCATTGACTTTGCCTGTGGGAAGCTGGCAGGGAGCATCAGAAAATTCCCTCTCCCCCTCCCCCCTCCCTCC